AATCGACGTACCGGGTGACGTGATGTTAGCCCGCCGATTGGCTGTACATACAGCATGGCACTACTCTCTCTCTCTCTCTCTCTCTCTCTCTCTCTCTCTCTCTCTCTCTCTCTCTCTCTTGAAATGACACGGTGATATGCATGTCCTCGTATGTTTGTTTCTTTGTGTTTTTTCTGTTTTTTTCTGTTTTGTTATTTCTTACCCCCTCCGGCTTGTCAGTTTTTTCGACGTGGCCATTCGTAGGAACATCGCCCCTCTGGCGAAATGTTTTGTTTTAACCTTTTCGTTGTCTTTTTCGTTTGTCCCATTTCTTTTTTTTTTTCTTACCCCTTCAGCCTTGTCGAGTCTGCGGATGTGGTCGTTCGTGGAACCACAACTGTCATTGTCTGTTTTGTTTTTTTTCCTTTGTCGTTCTCATTTTTCATTTTTCGTTGTTTCTTCTTCTTTGTTTCCCCTCTGACTTCTCAGTTCTGCTGACATGGCCGTTCGTGGAAACGTCGCCTGTCTATGTCTGTCCTTTTCGGTGATTTTGTCGTGTTTTTTTTTTTTTTTTTTTTTTTTTTTTTTTTTTTTTTTTTTTTTTTTTTTTTTTTTTTTTTTTTTTTTTTTTTTTTGCTTTTTTTGTCTTTTTTTTTTTTTTTTTTTTTTTTTTTCTCCGCGTTTATTTTTTCGTTCCACCGTGCGGTTTCTTCTTTCTGCGCACTGGCCGTTCATCTAAACGCCATTTGTCATTGTTTTGTATTCTGTTTTGCGATTTTTTTTCCTCTCTCCTTTCTTTTTTTTTTCCGGCAGATTTTGTCTCTCTCTCTCTCTCTCGGCAGGTTCTCTCTCTCTCTCTCTCTCTCTCTCTCTCTCTCTCTCTCTCTCTCTCTCTCTCTCTCTCTCTCTCTCTCTCTCTCTCTACATATTTATGTATGTGTCTTTCAATCTGCATTTTACGGTGTACATGGTACGGATAAAAGAGTACCGCAGAGATAGATAGATAGATAGATAGATAGATAGATAGATAGATAGATAGATAGATAGAGAGATAGATAGATAGAGAGAGAGAGAGAGAGAGAATAGGCGCCATTGTGGACGGCGGTCGTAGGCGTCACATCGGACTGCGGCCATAGGCGCCAGGCAGTACAGTTGCGGCCATAGGCGAAAGCCATCGCAGCGGCCATACGTGCCATAGCGGACGACGGGTATAGGCGGCGGCGTGGACGGCGGTCATAGGCC